AACCCTCAGGGTGACCCTTTTACCCTATTTATAGGGCATTTGCCCTATTTTTAACCTTTTCGCCCTATTTTTTCCCTATTTTTTCATTTGCCATATTTTTGCCCTATTTTTACTATTTTGTAAAATTTTTACAATTCTTAGCATTTCGTAACGAAATGGCAGAAAAATGTAGAAATCTGACCGTTGACCTTCCATAATTCTCAAAAATTTTGCCTGCGGCGCTGAAAAAAGAACTTTAATAGAATGTTCAAGGGAATCCTTACAACTTTAAGGGAATGTTATGTATCGCACCGCATAAAAATAAAATTTCCGATTTCGGGAATCGGGAATTTCGGGAATTTTTGACCAGTTCGGGAATCGGGAATTCACGATTTTCCTCCAATCTCCGATTTTGGGAATCGACAATTTTGTCGGTACGATCCATGATCCATGATACAGCTATTTTTAATGATATCTCGATATATGATTGCAAAAATAGTTATAAATTTTAGGTTTATCTACAATTTATCTACCCCTAATTCTGAACCAGATTTACTTAATTTAGTTCAAACTAGTGAAAAAAAATAAAGTTTTTATTATAATTTTTAAATAATTTTAAAGTTTTTAAAATAATGCCCTATTTTTTGCCCTATTTTTGACCATTTTCGCCCTATTTTTGCCACATTTTTGAGTGGCTGCGCCCTATTTTAGTGGTTTGGAAAGGGTCACCCTGGTAACCCTTGACATCAAAATTTCTACAAAAATATATTATTCTTCATTGGAAACGAAAACGGGTTTAATGAGGTTAAGAAGAAACTTGCGGACAAAATTTGCGGACTTTTGAGGGAGGAAAAGCCCAAAAAAGGTATAAAGGAAGAGGACCATTCATTATTTATTTGACTCTAAATTTCATAAATAAGGTCGAGTTTCGTGTCGGGTCTTCACTATAATTTTTCCGGATCGAGTTCCTAGTCCAAAAATATCCTAGTTTTGGGTAACCCGTGACCCATTTCTGATGCGTAGTCTCCTCAATGGGAGGTTAACGACACAGTTTATGAGGTCGAGTTTCGTGTCGGATCTTCACAACAAATTTATTCCGATCTGGGTGCGGGTCAAGAAAAGTTCTGCTTTTGGGTACCCGTGACATTTCTGGTGCGTAGTTCTCCATGGGAGGTTAACCATTAAACAAGGACTCCTAAACAGTTTATGAGGTCGGGCTTTGTGTCGACTCTTCAAAACAAATTTCTTCGGATCGAGTTCCGAGTCCAAAAAAGTCCCAGCTGGGTAACCCGTGACTTATTTTTTGGGGGTAACCCGTGACCTATTTTCTATCCTTATAGAAAACCTATAAAAAAACTAAACCCAACCCTATTTTTTAAATTTAAATTAAAAAGAAACCTGTTTTCTACTAATATAAGAAGTTGGTCCTTCCAATGTTAAATTGACCTCAACATTGTGTCCTTTAAAAGAATTTTTTTAAAAATTTTCAAAAAATTTTTTAACAAACTTTTTGTACTTCTCCCAATCAATACCCTCTCTTTTCGAACATCAAAAGTTGTACAACGTCCACAAAAAAGTCCAACAGTTTCAGGCGACATTATTGGTTCACTAGGCATTATTCCGATAATATTAGAGACTAAAACTGCCGCCCCTTCCCATTCTTTTGTTTCTCGTTCACAAATTGCTGCATTTCGAGTAAATTGGCGTTCTTCTACGTCCTATTTTTGGAAATTAAAAAAAAATAAAAATTTTAAAAAAGAAACCATTGGAAGTTGTTGACCGTTGTTAACATCTGTTGAAGAACCTAATGAGTAGAGATCAAAAGTCTGTGTGAAAATTATAAAAAATTAATTTTTAAATAAAAAAAATCATTTTTGCGGACAAACATTTGCGGACACAGCTCTAAGGCTTTTTTATATGAAAACATGGGGTTTTGAAAAACATAGGGTTTTATGGACTCAACAGCCATTATTTGGTGACCGTTAAGCCTCAATATTAATAAAGGGGGTTGATTTCTTGTCCGCAAACTTCGACGATTTTTTGCGGACAAATTTTGCGGACACCTATTTATTTTTTTTCAATCTTATCCGCAAATGTCAACAAAATCCGCAAAAACGTCAAAACTTACAAAATTATCTTCATCTTGTTGTAAATTATTTAATTGTTGCTGTGTTGTTGTTGCTGCCCTTTGATCATTCAAAAGTCCATAAAGCCTCAATTCCCTCCAATGTTCTTCCAATATTTTAACTGTTCTAGCATAATGAAAAGTAGTGTCCCTATTTTGTTCCAAAATTTTTGACAAAATTGAACTTATGGGTTGCGGGGCAGAAGAAGGAATTTGTCTCAATAAATTTTCTTCAGATAAAGAGAAGGGAATTCGTTCTTGAATTGATATAATTTTTTGTTTTTCCATTTGTTCCATTCTTCTTTTTGCAATTAAACTCGATTCTTCATCATATAAAAGTTCATACCAACGCTCTTCTATCTAAAAATTAAATAAAAATTATTGGCATTAAAAAAAATTTTTTTCCGAGGGATCGAATGTCTTTAATGGAGCAGAAAGAGTTAAAAATTTTTTAGAATTTAGGAACCATCAAAAGTTGTGTGTGAGTCAATTTTATTTAAGTAGACTTTTCAGAAATTCCAACGGATCCAGTTTCGGATCAAAAATAGCCCGGATTTCTAAGAACCGACTAATTGATATAATCCTTGGGTCTACCCAAATTAAAAATTTTTTCGTAGGACCAAATGTCTTGAACGGATTGGAAGAAGCTAAAAATTTTTTCTGGAATTTAGGAACCATCAAAAGTTGTGTGTAACAAAAATTTCCTTTGGATCGAGTTTCAGGTCGAAAAAAGTCTCAGGATTTAGGAGAACTGCCCAATTTTTGCTTGAAATTATAACTCAAAAAAATTATTTCAAAAACTAACTTGTTCAAGCGTATAACGACGAGAAAAACGCATTTGAGTATACACAATCCAGAGATCAGCAACCTAAATAAAACTTAAATAAAAATTTAAAAAATAATTTAATTAACGTGTGTCACAGCAGCAATTAAAGCAATATCATCTTCAGGTGTCCATTGATTTAATAAAGCAATAGAAGGTTGTAAATTTCTAATAATTGAAGTATTTACTTCTGGTGTTGTTTTTCTTCTATTTTTATTTGATTGTTGATGTGTTTTATCCATCTTAAATTTGAAAATAATTGATTGGAAATGAGAGAAAAAATTAAAGGAAAGGATTGTTGGAAGCTAAGATTAAGTAGCAGAGATAGAGCTGGGTTGGACCAAGGCCAAAGTTTTTTCTGTACCCAAAATCCAATTTTTTGACCTTCCTAAGTTTTTCCTAGACTACAGGTTCAGTATCTGGTTCAGATTAATAAATCAAACCCAAAACCAGGAACAGGCCCAGGCTTTTCAAAAATCTCGATCTCTAGTATGTAGTACATACGAAGAATGGTTAGGGGACGGTTCAGTTTAAATATTGGCCGTTGTTCTACTCAACACGCCCGGCTTTTTATGCAGCGACAAAAACTGGGAACCTTTTCCTGTCATTAGACAACACCCACAGAACAACAATCCCAAAAGCTTGGTATTTCGAGGGCTTTTAAGGATTTGGAATTTCAAGCCTTCGGCATTATATTAAAAATTATCTAGTAAAAAATTTCTCCGTTGGACCAAATGTCTTTAATGGAATGGAAAAGTTTATAAAATGTTCCAAAGACCCCCTCATTAATTCTTAAATTAAAAAAAAAACTTAAAAGAAAACCTCATTTGAAGGAGCATTTAATAAATGAACATTTCCACCTAAAGTAGCAACATTATTATTGTTGTTATTACAAGTAACAGGAATTCTGCTCGGAAATGTGTTGATAGGCGGATTTATTGTAGTATTATTATTAACATTTGTCACAATATGTTTTTCGTTTGAATGTCGTCGTTTAGATGTTTGTTTATTTAGTACAACACTTTCTACCAATTCATCATCAAATTTTGGTTTTTTAATGTCTCTGGTTGAACGACGACGAGGTTCATTTGGATTTTCTAGGCTTTCCATGGAACCTAAAAATAATGCAATATATTGAAGTACCAAAAGAATTTGGTTGGGAAGTTGTTGAATAGTTTTGAACCCTCTATAGGGTTAAAGTTTTCGAGTCGAGCCGACAAAGTCATTATTTCGGGCCGGCCAGACCGAGTCAATTTTCGGGCCAAAATTCAGTGCTCGACTCGATCTTTCGGAACGGGCCGGATCGGGTCCCCAACCCTACATTCAATCTAACAGTCGAATTCAAGGGGGTTGCGAGGGCGGACACTCTTAAAAGTTGAAATCCTAAACTTGGATACGCTCTTATTTCAAAATATTAGGGAATATCAAAAATGAGAAATCTCATTCAATACCGTTATCCCTGCACATCTGCCCCGCTTATCCTCACCCATCTTCAAACCCCAAAGCCTCAAAAAATTTTAAAACCTGTGCCTTCATCAGCTTACTCTATACCTTTATCCCGGCACACCCGTCCCACACCTCCCTTCAACCCCAAGCCTAAAAAAAAATTTAAAACCTGTGGTCTCATCTCCCATAACTCTTTTTCCAATCTGGTTGTGATACATCTGTTGAGGCATAGAATGAAACTCGTCTTTTTGTTCATTGCTGATAATCGAATTTCCTGGTGAATCCATCTTTTTCTTCAAAATATTTAAAAGAATATAATAAAATAATTTACACAAAAAGAATGAATAAGCGTTGGAAACGCATTAAAATTTCAAAAAAAATTCATTCAAAAATTTATTAAAAAACCAATAAAACAACAGAATTTTTAACGACAAAAAAGAAGACAAAAAACTTAAACAAATGAAAATTTTGGAAGAACATTTTAAAAGAGGAGCTCTTCCAACCAAAAAAAATTTAATTTTTTTACTTTTACTAAATTAAAAAAAACAATAACATTTATATTTTAAAATATCCTATGTCTTCTATAATTTTTCCTTCTCACTTCATTAAATTACCAAAAAACTTTCCCTAATGCTTAAAAGCTGCAATAAATGTTTGAACCAAATTTTTAAGCTTATCATCCGTTGTTGTAGTAATTTGGCCTTCTTCACGAATAATTTTTAGCAATTCTTGCTCATGTGCACGAATATGTGCAAGAAATTCTTTTTCGAAACGAGTAATTTGTGAAGGGTCAATTTTGTCCAAATAACCTTTGACACCAGCATAAATTACAGCAACTTGTTCTTCAATAGCCATAGGGACATATTGACCCTTAAAAAAATTTTTAAGAAAAATTCTAAAGATTTTCAAAGAAAACCTGTTTGAGCAACTCAGTCAAACGAACACCGCGATTGAGCAGTTGTTGCGTTGACGCATCCAAATCAGAACCAAATTGAGCAAAAGCAGCAACCTCACGATATTGTGCAAGTTCCAATTTCATTGAACCAGCAACCTTTTTTAATTTTTGGGGTTAAATAGGGTCAGCGATCTCGTCTGACCAAAAAAATTTTTACTAATAGAACCTAGACCCCGCTCCCTTACACAAGTTTCAATTACGACCCAGAATGAGTTTGGCAACCCAGATCCCGAACATCTCGACCCCGAAGGGTCTAAAGTCAGACCCAGACCCAAGAATCAGACCCAAACCCCACAACCAGACTTTTCAACCCCAAAGGGCCGTGATAAAAGCATAATAAGTCCCCAACCCCTCCCATCCAAAAAATTCAAAAGAAAAAAACCTGTTTCATAGATTTCGTCTGTGCAGCAGATCCTACACGAGATACAGACAAACCAACATTAATTGCAGGTCTAACACCTTTATAGAATAATTCAGTCTCCAAAAAGATTTGTCCATCGGTAATTGAAATAACGTTTGTTGGAATATATGCAGACACGTCACCAGCTTGAGTTTCAATGATTGGCAAAGCTGTAAGAGATCCTCCCTTGTGTGTCTCATTCATCTTGGCAGCACGTTCAAGCAAACGAGAGTGCAAATAGAAAACGTCTCCTACAAACATGAAAATTTTATATATTCGTTTGTGTCCGGATTTGCAGAAAGATAATCCAACCTGATTATCTATCATAAAGTTTGAAGGTGGCACAGTCGGTTGTGCTTAGGTATGGGATCATTTCGTGATGGTTCTATTCCATCTCCCTCTAGTGGGTTTTTTCAAAGCTAGATTCCAATTTATCCTGGGTTATATTTCTTAACAGCAATGGAGTGTCCGCAAATGATAGTGGGTGTCCGCAAATGTTGTCCGCAACTTTTTCAAAGTCCTAACAATTGCAAAAAAATCTACACAATGCAAACCTGGATAAGCTTCACGTCCTGGAGGACGACGCAACAAAAGCGACATTTGTCTATACGCTACAGCTTGTTTTGAAAGGTCGTCATAAATAATCAATGCATGCTTTCCATTATCACGGAAGAATTCGCCCATTGCAGCTCCCGAATATGGTGCAAGGAATTGAAGAGGTGCCGCATCAGAAGCGGTAGCCGAAACGATGATTGTGTACCTTAAGTGGACAATGATTGTAACACGAAAAAACAAACTTCATAGCATCAGCATCAGTAAGTCGCTTCACAATTTGAGCAACAGTTGAACGCTTTTGACCAATAGCAACATAAATACAATAAAGCTTTTTCTTCTCATCATTGCTGGCATTAAAACGCTTCTGGTTGATAATTGTGTCAATAGCAATTGCAGTTTTACTAAAAAGTTTGGGGAGAATAAAGTTTGGGATATTGACAAATACTTAGACAAGTGTAAAACGAGTAATGTGTGCCCTATGCCTACCATTTTCCCAACCGATTTAACAATAATCATTCGCGAGGGCATATTCAGGATTGAAATTTCGACGGCTATAACGGGTTGCGCAGCGAACCTAGTGTTCAAAGCGGACATCCAAATTATCCCAGTTTAGATCATATCCCAATTTGCCTTGATGCTCGTCTTTACAAGCACGTAGTCAAGAAAATTTTTGGGGGAAGGAGAGAGCCACGAGCCAGGTTTCCATGATCGAAAAAATCCCACCTAATTTGTCATCCTAATCTAACCCAAAAATCAACAGAAAAATACAAACCCAGTCTGACGATCTCCAATAATCAATTCACGCTGTCCCCTTCCAATTGGCACCAAAGAGTCAACTGCTTTCACCCCTGTCAACATAGGCTCACGCACACCAAGTCGCGGAATAATTCCTGGAGCTTTAACTTCAACACGCGAACGTTGAGAAACTTTTAAAGGTTTTCCATCAATTGGATTCCCAAGAGCATCAACAACGCGGCCCAACAATTCTTCACCGACACCAACGTCAACAATAGCCCCAGTCCGTTTGACAATATCTCCTTCACGAATAACCTTGTCATTTCCAAAAACGACAACACCAACATTGTCAGGTTCCAAGTTTAGAGCCATTCCCTTTTTAGAGAAAATTAAGGTTTATTACTGTCGGATTAGACATCTAAAATAGGACCGGAAGTCTTCTTGCCCGGGGTTTCTCATCGCAGAAGCCCAGAACCTAACAAGGCCTGTATAATCGAAAATCCAAGCCCGCATTCTTAAGGTAAACGTGGGATATCCAATCCAGCCCTAGAGTTGGATATGGACTAGGTATTCCTGTATTCAGACCATGAAGTTTTCGAGCCTACTTATAAGATAACCCACGCTCATTTTAAGGAGGGCCTGAATTTTCGATTCCACTGGCCTACTGGGTCACTCCAAGGTCAGAGTTGTCATGGGCTGGAGTCCCAGAACTTGGCCAGGTCAGTAGACTCGAAGATTAGTCACGTCCTGTTACCTACAGTAGATGTGAGCGAGCCCAAGAGAGGTGCCAAACCCCCACCCCCAAAACAGTCAAAATAACAACCTTCATTCCCGAATCAAATTCCACCATTTCCTCAGCCTGAATATTTTTAAGTCCATAAACACGAGCAATTCCATCACCAATAGAAAGTACTCTTCCCGTCTCTTCCAAATTAATCTTTGTTTCTTGTCCAAGAATCTTTTCTTCCAAAATTCGAGAAACTTCAGCACTCGAAGCCGACAATTTTGAAGATGTTGAAAGAGCAGCAGCCTTCATAGTACATCCTGCTATGATGGAATTTGCACTTTGAACAAACTTTCTTGTGAAGATCATTTTTTTAACAGAAAAATTTTTTGAAAGCTAAAAATGATTAGAAAGATTATTTTTGTGAATTAAGCAAAAAAAATAGGCTCTACTCCAGTTTATGCATCCAATCGACTTTTATGCGTCCAATTAAAGTTTATGCGTCCAATAAAAAGAAAATTGGATTTTTCTTGGTATTACACAGTTGGGGTATGACTCCAAACCATTTCTTCATGTGCGGGACCTACGTCCACTGGGTCTAGGACCATTCCTTACCCGACCCCTCGAAATTTCTGAAAGTTATAATCGTTTTTCTGAAATTTTAAAAAATTGGCTGTAACTTTAAAAAATTTCTAGGTATAGGGTAAGGAATGGTCCTAGACCCAGTGGACGTAGGTCCCGAACATGAAGAAATGGTTTGGACCCATACCCCAACTGTGCAATATCAAGAAAAATCCAATTTTCTTTTTATTGGGCGCATAAACTTTCATTGGACGCATAAAAGTCGATTGGACGCATAAACTGGAGTAGAGCCAAAAAATATAAAAGTTTCAAGCAAAACTCTAATATAAATTTAAAAAAAGCCAGTTTGTGTACTTAACATTTTAAACAGGGACACGCCCAATTAGGCGCGCGGCCATAACGGCGCAAAGCCATTACTTGCTAGAAAATTTCTGGCCCTTATTAATTTTGGTACCAATCTCTTTAGCTCGATGAGAGGAATCGTTTAATACTAAATTTGGTAAGATTCGGAAATCTTGAAGCAAGTTATGGCTTTGCGCCGTTATGGCCGCGCGCCTAGTTGGGCTGTACCGTTTTAAACAATTTATTAATCTCGCTAGTTAGCAATGAACATTGAAACAAATAATCGATAAAAAATCTTTTTATAATTCTCGAATCACTAGAGAGAAAAATACGAGAAAGATAAAGCATCATACGATAACTTGATTTTCTTGGCATAATGTGAAATTTAAATTTTTCAATTTAGACGGTTGAGTGCCCAAATCTCGTCGCGCTTTTGGAGAAGACTCGACATTTTGCCAAAACCATATTTTGCCAATAAGGCTAAAAACATACATTTTGCCAACTAATCTGTTGACAAATTGTGTACTTTTAGCCCTATTGGCGAAATATGATATTGGCAAAATGTGTTTTCTCAGTTATTTGTAAATGGAATATTAAAGATAAATTAAATAAAGAGAAAGGGAAGGTATTCAAAGAAAAGAAAAAATAATAAATTCAATTAAAAAATTTAAATAATTATTCAGCTCCTTGAGGTTCTGGGTTGAGGACATTTGACAAGACCTGCAAAATTAAAATTTATTTCTTGAAAAACACTCGTTTAAAAATGAAAAATGTCAAAATATAAATAAAAGTTGCTCTTTGACTTTAGATGGTTTAGACACTCAAAAAAATTTATTTTTTTTTTGCGGACAATTCTTGCGGACAATTTTTGCGGATATTCACTGTAAAGACAACTTATAAATTGTCCGACCAAGCAACGTTGACTCCCAATTTGTCCGCAAAAATATTTTTTTGCGGACAACTTTTGCGGACATTCACTATAAAATAGCTTATAAATTGTCCGACCGAGCAACTTTATACGGTTAAAAAAATTAAAAAAAATCTCTGGGTAAATTTTCTTCAAAAAAATCAAAAATAAAGTCAAAAAAATCTCAAAAATTTTCCTCTTCATTAATTTTCATACATAAAAGCGTGTTCTATCATATCCTCATTAATTTGATTTATTAGCCAAATTAATAATAATACAGCTAAAATAATACAGCAAATACAAACCATAAAAGCAATTACTGGAACAAAATATATCCAATATTTTTGAAGAAAGCTTCGATTGTCTTGTGTAGCACCTTGTTGACGAGCACGTTTTTCTTCTTCTACTCTACGCAAATATGTTGCGGTATCAGGACTAGAATATTTTTATGAAAAATTTTTTAATAAAAAATTGGTACTTTACGGTTATGGGGCCGCACTTTAAAAATGTTAAAAAATGGTCATGAATATGACAAACTATATGTCATTCGAAAGAGCTCGTCGAGATGAGTCGAATGACATCAAAAACATGTGGGGTTCGAAATGGTACGAGCTCGAAATGGTCAAAACATAAAAGGATAAAAGGGCAAAAATCATGAATATGACCAAAATGTATGTCATTTGAAAGAGCTCGAAGAGCTGAGTCGAATGACACCAAAATCACGGTGATTGAACAAGATTAGACAAAGTTACCTACAAAAACAAGCAACATAAACCTATGGGGCATCGGCGAGGCCGATGTCTAATCTTGTTCAATCACCGTGATTTTGGTGTCATTCGACTCATCTTGACGAGCTCTTTCGACCGACATATAATTTGTCCATATTCATGACCATATTTAAACATTTTTAAAGTGCGGCCCCATAACCGTAAAGTACCAAAAAATTTTTTGCGGACAACATTTGCGGACAAAAAAAATTTTTTCGGACGAAAAATTCTTTACCCCTCCAAAATTCCATATGATTAAATGATGGCACAGAACACTAACCGGACGTCTTTTTTTTCAATTTCAACACGCTTTTAGGTTTTGTCCGCAAAAATTAAAATTTGTCCGCAATTCTACAATTTTCAAAAATTACCCTGGAAGATCAACAATTCCTTGAACTCTAATAAGAATCAATGGAGAAGGCGATTTTTCATTTATTTTTATATTGGTAGAATTGTTTATTACGCTAAGAGGCGCTGGAGAATGCGTCAAGGAATGGATACGTTGATTGTCCAAATCAGCAGTAATAACCAATAAATGAACATATTTTGATTGAATATAGCCCTCCTTTAAAAAAAATAAGTAACGCCTGGGAGACAAATCCAATTGTCAACCAGTGAGCAAAACCCCTCAAAATGGCCCAATGTATAAAAACCCCTCAAAATGGCGGAATTTCGGAAAGGTTGCCAGAAAAAAGGTTTCCGGAAACCAGTTGGGCCGTTCTGGTGATTTTGCACTATGGGCCGTTTTAAGGTAGTCCATTTTGAGGGTATTTGTTCAAGTAGCCATTTTGATGGTTTTTGTACATTGGGCCATTTTGAGGCGCAGCGACTAAAACAGAAAATATAAGCAAACCTCTCCTCCATTTATTTCAGAAAAACTCACAATAGAATTACTGCTAAATATTTGTCCACTTTTTATTTTATATTCTTTATTTGAAGGATTTGATTCCAAATCTTTTTTCCATTGAGCAATTACTTCTGTTGACGTTGCAATAAATTCTGCTGTTGCGGGGAGAATATTTTCCATGTTTTGAGTTCCAACAAAAGGTTTTATGCGGATTTGGCCAAGTTGGAAGTAAATATCTTTGAAGAAAAAAATATAAAAAAAATTCTTGGAAAAAATATTTTTGCGGACAAAATTTGCGGACAAAAAATTTTTAATTAAATTTTTGTCCGCAAAATATTTTTTCCCAAAAAATTTTTTCTAAAAATAATTTATAAAAATAAACCTTCTATTGCATATTCCAATGGTACAGAGAATTCACGAAAGGCACTTGAAATGTCCAAAATAAATAAAAGAATAAAATATGGGCAAATATTAATTAAGGGAAGCATTTTTGTGGAAAATAACTAAAATAAAAAAATTTTTTTAAAGAAAAGTTTCTTAAAAATAAAAGACAACCAATATATTTACTTGCCAAATAGCCCCAAAAAAATTTAAACTTAAATAACCCTTTTCTGTTATCTTCTCCCAACGTCCGCAATTTTTTATCCGCAAAAATCATTTTTAAAATTTTCCATAGAAAAACTTTAAAGATCGCAAAAGTAATGTAAACTTGGAGATATTCTTTAACAAAAATAATCTTTCTCAAAAATATATAGAGGCTTGCGGATAAAAATTTGCGGACTATGGCAGACATAACCGCAAAACGAAATCTCTTCATAGTTAAAGGATATTTCCTCAAAAAATTCCTTTAAAGGATCCAAAGAAGAGAAAAAAATATTTTAAAAAATAAAAAAAATTTCTTTCAGGTCTAAAAACCTTCATTTCTACAAAAAAAAATTCAAAAATTTTATATAAATTAATTTTTTATTCTTTATATAGATATTTTTGTGCTCTGCATATAAATGTATAAAATATAAATTTCTTTGTCGATTATGCACATAGAAAAAAATGAAAAAAAAATTAAAATAAAATTAAAAATAAATTTAAAAATAAAAAAAACAACAAAAAAATTTTTCTTTTAAAAAAGAGATTTGTTTAGAAATGAAAGTTTGAGGATTTTTTTTATTTTAAATGATTTATAAATTAAATTATTCATAAAAAAATAGAATCTCTAAAATATATCCTTCCTCCCTGATTTTCAGAAAAAAATATTATGGTCATTTAAAATTTATCTTATAAAAGGTATTTTAATTTTTTAAAGATTTTTTTTTAATTTCAGGACGATTGAGTTACTAGGACGTAAGTTAAATTGATTTGTAATGCTTATGTTCCCTAAAATTTTTTGGTGGTGTCCGAGACTTATACCGTAAATCTGTTAGCTTATAGCAAGTGCGTAGCCAGGAGGCTTTTGGAGCTATAGCCCCCTGGTACGTCCTTGCTATAAGCTAACGAATTCAGCGGTCCCCTAAAATCGACACCCTGGCTACGCCCTTGGCTTATAGTATGCTTGAATTTTGGTTAGTTTTTAAAGTCGCAGGTAATATTGCCGGTTCCCGATATCCGAAAATTCTTGGTTCGGTTCTCCTATTTTGTTTGCCAGAAAACGGTGGACCCAGAAAAGAACATACCAGCTTCTCAAACTTTAGAAACTCTATGAAACGGAAACTATGAACGGAAAGAAAGGAGGAATAAAAATAGAGATTCTATGAATTATTTAAAAATAAAAAAATTATTTAAAAGAGAACTGGCTTATTTTTTTAAGTTTAAAAAATTAAAAAAATTATTCAAAAAAATATACCAATTCACAAACAAATTTTACTTTCCTTCCTTATTAGAAGTTCCAGAAGTATCACTTGTATTAGTTGTAGTAGATGAAGTTGTACCCCCACCAGCTAACATTGGAGGAGATAAATTTAAGGAAGAAGAGACTGGTGATCTACTACTTCCTCCAGCAATTAATGGAAGAGAATCTGAGCTTATTTGTTTTGATATTGTTGTTGAAGTAGTTAATCCACCTCCTCCACCGCCTGGTGGTGGTGATATTGTTGTTCCAGTATTTAATGTTTGATGTGATTGTGTTGTTAAAGATGATGTTGTTCCTCCTTCTATTACATCTACACAAGCACTACTTCTACTCATTTTATGATGTTTTTGAATTGGTGTACGTTTGGTGCTGACACTAACGTTGCTCAATTCTTTTATGACATCAAAAATGCGTTTTTTGCCTAAAAAATTTGAAAAAATTTTTTTTTGTGATAAGTTTTGTTCATGGGTACTCCCTAATAAGGCTGACATACCAGCAATATATAACTTTGTTCAACACTATCTAATCCCAGACACGAAGCCCTAGAAATGGTTCGATTCAGCGCATCGAGAAGCACTATCAAGAGTACGAGATATTAGGTTTTGGTCCCCGACCTGTTAGGGAAAACATTCTCGGGGAAGGGGGATGTCAGGGAATATCTAAAAACCACCTTCGTCGGACGGAAAGGGGAATCAGAGACCAACCAAAAATCCGAAGAACATTCACGGCGAAACCGAAGAACATTCTCCGAAAAACAATCTCTGGGAATGGGGATGTCGGGGAGTAGCCCAAAAACCACATCGTCGGACGGAAAGGGGAATCAGAGACCAACCATAAATCCGACGAACATTCTCGGGGAAACTGAAGAACATTCTCCTAAGAACAATCTCGGGGAATGGGGATGTCGTGGAATAGCCTAAAAACCACATCGTCGGACGGAGAAGGGAGTCAAAGACCAACCATAAATCATCTAACAACAAGTCGTCCGAGACTCGTTAAACTTGAAATATGTTAGTCTACAATTAGCGGCTCATTAGACTTTCATGTCAGTACCTCGGCTAATTTCTGTAACCCTTTCCAAGCCAAAAATAAATAAAATTTAAACCTTTAGCTTTTGCAGCATCTAATACACCCTTATAAATAGGCGACCGAAGAAAACTTTAAAAAATATAAATTAAAATTAATTTTTAGAAAATTGAAAAAAAAACCGTGGATATGAATCTTTACTCATTAAAGTAAAAACGTGTTCTTCAGCTAAAGAAAAGGCAAAACGTCTAGAAGTATGAGATTCATTTATACATTTAAGCGTTTCATCGAGAGTACGAGAATCAACATTAACCTTTAAAAAATAAGATTTTTTTTCGAATATCTCCCCCTCTCAAGTTTAAGTCTCCTTAAGTCTCTCCAGCAAAATTAGTAAGTAAAAAATAAGTGGAATCGTAAAAATAATGTTTTTGCTTGGCCAGATATGACCACAAATAGGGTTGCCAGCACGCAAACAAACCGAAGCTCAAAAGATCGAGCAAGCCGAGGCTTTTCAGCTCGAAAACGAACCGAATCGAAAAAAACCAAGCTCAAAAAAAATGCACCGAACGTCGGTTCGAACCGAAAACGGCAACCCTAACCACAAATCATCTATAAAATGCATAGCTGATACTGAAACTTGAAGAAACGGTATCCGAAAAGTACCAAAAAATAATTTTCTATCTCTTAAAATTAATTTTAAAAAAAAAAAAACCTGACAAGGAGAACCAGCAGCCAAATATTCATCCAAAATTAATTGAGCTTTAGTTTCTATTTGTGAATTTGCCGAATATTTCAAATCTTGAATAGACATCCAAAAACGAAGATTTTCGGAAGAAAATTCGGAATCGAGAAATGATTCTAGCACCTTAAAATTGTAAAAATTAGAGAAAAAAATAAAAATTTCAAAAGCTAAAAATTTATTAGGGGCCTGCATAGATAGAGGATACACAAAGAAATACCAAAATGTGGATTGTTAACAACCTCCCACGTTGATGGAACCCTCATAGTTGTTGAAACAGACCCATGTGTTTAGTACTTTGGCAGCTTTAGAGGGGTGGTACCTCAGCTTTTGGGATTATGACGCGCCCAATTTATAACAAAATAAAATTTTTTACAGAGAACTAACTCTTCCCTTAAAAAAACAAAACCTGTCTTCCAATAGGATCTCTAACCAACTCAATAACACTTAATCCCCAACGCTTAACACGTCTTTCCGTAGGCACTTCAACACTAAAAAAAAAAGAAAATTTAATTAAAACCACCAAAAAATCCAAACAAACTTGTCAGCATTTAAAACCCAAAGTGTTGAGTCATCAGAAATCCAAGGATTCGAAGGCAATGGTGATGAAAGAAATGGGTCATATTCTGCAAATTGTTCCGTCCAATTAGTCATTCTTCAAAAAAGAAATAAAAAAATATTTTTTTAGAGGTAATCTTTCATTTTACTGGTCCCTAGAAGTAAGGTTTGATTTTTCGAACCGTGCCGACGTTCGAATCATTTTTATCGAACCAGGCCGTTCGAGGGGTGGGGGCTAACTCAAGGAATACCAACTCAAGGAACAGACAAATCAAGGAAAAGACAAGTCAAGGAAAAGACAAGTCAAGGAAGCCCGACACGCCGTTCGAGTCTTTTTCGGGCCAAAATTCGAGGCACGGTTCGATCTTTCGAACCGAACGGGCCCAACCCTACCTAGAAATAAATGAGGAAAAAGTGCTAGTTTGACATTTTTTAGGTCCACCAGTAGGATGCCTACTGGCAGACCTCAAAAATATCAAAAAAGTACGTCTAACCCATTTTTCTAGGGACCAGTAAAGTGGAAGATTACCGAAAAATCTTTCTTACATTTCACTAGCTTTCAGCATTTTTAACCACGGCTTAGTTTTTAGAGCTAATCGTAGACGTTCAATTGTTGTGTGAAGCTAATAAAAAATATAAATATTTAAAGAATTATTTTTTAAATTTACATGGCTAATAGTAGGCCTCCGAATTTTGCGGTCTAAAAGAGAAAAAAATATTTGAAGAAAATAAATGTAAATAAAACTAACCAAGCTTTTGTAAACCTTCTTCAAAGACTATATTTGAATGACCTAAAAGGATACGATTAAAAAATTTTGAAGAAAAAAATTTAAGCTGAAGTACCAAAAATAGAGTTGGTCACCTACAAGGGGAGGGGCACGGGGAGAACTTTTCGGGGAGACAGCGCCACGAGGGGGGGGGGGGCGTGGACGGGGACCGACCCTAGTCAAAAAATCATAATCCTGAAACCACAAAATTATTTCACAAAAACAGGACTAGAACTTATTCTAATTGTAACACCAACCCAAGCCTTTCCCGCGACACGAACACTAAAACGCCTATAAATTACTCCTCAAATTAAATGTCTCAAAAACACAAATTAAATTTATTTCTCATCTATTGCAATCTCCAGGGAAATCCCAGCTTAATAAAATCTTCAACAAAAATACAAATAACCTGGCCTTCTCGTCCTCCAAAAAGCTCTTTCTTCCGTGTCAAAAACAACTTTTTCAGCCTTTTTGCGTTCTTTTAACGCTTTAAGTTGAAGTTCTGCTTGGGCAGAGATGAAAGTCCACATATGGCTTAAAAGTTCGAAAGACCTATTGTAGGCATCAGCTTCTTCCTCGTCCAGTCCATGTTTCAGTTCATTGCGTAAAAGACGTTTAGAAAGATATATGGCTTAAAAAAAGGGGAAAAAATATAATTAAAATTTAAAAATTAAAAGAAAACCATATTCAACATTATCAGCTTGTTGAGCATGTGATGGCCAAAAATACGGAAGTTGTATCCTATATAGAGTTCCATCTTCCTAAAAATTGATAAAAAAATAGGAAAATGAAGTAAATTTGGGTTAGTAAGAATTTTTTGATTTTTAAAGTATGAGAGGAGGGACAGAGGAGCTAAACCAGTCGTTTCCGTGTCAATTTATCAAAAGGATACGAACCAAACAACACTTAATAAACATGCTCCCCACTAGAAAATAGCGACGAATTTTAAGGAGTGGTAGAATAGAAAAAGCAAGGCTGTCACGGGTTGGGAAAAAAATCGGTTCGGGTTCCGAGCAGAATTTTTGAAAAATTCTCAGGTCGGGTATGCGGTCAAAAAAGACAGGGTTTCGGTTTTAGGACAGTCGTAATTCCCCAAATTGACAGTGGGTGGCTAATTTAACGTTTGGGAATAAAAAAGTATACAAACCTTAACACTCTGCGCATGCACATCAATAACCGGAAAGATGTAGCCATACTGCAAGAGCATTGTAGCAAAATGGACAGCTTCCCCAACATCCTCAGCCGTCATTACTGACGAAGGGGGCTGATTGGAAGATGAAGGCGAGGAAGAAGCATAGAAAGCATTGTGTATATGTTGAACCAAAACTTGGCCAGTAATAGCCTGAGGCACTGAGACGCGAAAGTATTTGTGAGTTTTGAGGTGGGCAGAGTTGAGAATCCGAAGGAGGACAGTGTCCATCTAAAATAAAATTTAAAAGGGATTTTAGACCAAGGCTGGACGCAACTGCGGATTGCGTGATTTTTGGGCTTGCGGACTGCGGCTGTGAAAAATTTTTTCAGTTGCGTCCAGCAAGGGCGTATCCAGGGGGGGGGGGCTGGGGGGGGCTAGAGCCCCCCCCGAAATGGGGGAAAGGATGAAAAAATTAGGAGAAGGATGGTCGAAAAAGTGAAATTTTTTGGCCTACGGCCCTCCAAATTCAAAAAATTTTCGCCTGCGGCGCAAAAAATGGAAGAAATCTGGCTGCTTGAGCTCCAAAATCCTCAAAATTTTTGCCTGCGGCGCTAAAAAGGAAGAAATCTGGCTTCTTGGGCTCCAAATTCAAAAAAATTTTCGCCTGGGGCGCTGAAAAAGTGAAATTTTTTGGCCTACGGCCTTCGAATTTAAAAAAATTTTCGCCTGCGGCGCAAAAAACCGAATTTTTTTGGCCTACGGCCATCTAAAATTAAAAAAATTTTCGCCTGCGGCGCTGAAAATATAAAAAGTTATGTACAAAAAAATTTGCCGTAGGAACGCCAAGGTAAACGCCAAAAATTTTTGCGCCCATCCAGTGTTAGCCCCCCCCGAAACCGACCCCCTGGATACGCCCTTGGCGTCCAGCCCCGTTTTAGAGGAGCAGCCCAACCTACCACCGAGGCTATAACTTCTTTCAGAATTGTCGAATCCGGGACGCCTTGGTATGGTTCGATACGCCTCGACGAGTTGAATCCAACCATACCAGGTTTCTCAGATTCGACAATTTTGAACGAAGTTATAGCCTCGGCAATAGGTTGGGCTCGCGGTAGGTTGAGGTGTACCCCTGTTTTAGACAGAGAATTTAAAAAATTTTAAAAAAACCTTCTGTAGAATGTTGTTTTTAGTTTCAGGCACAAAAGGTGCTGCAGTACTCGAAGAAGGCAGTGACGTCATTTTATATATGTAAATTGGTAAGTGTTGTTAAATTTTACTTAAAAGAACCGTCAAGGTAGAAAACTGAAAAAGAGAAAAATTAAAAATTAGAGAAAATGAGAGAAAAATTTTCGAAAATTAAAAAGAAAAATTAACAAAAAAATAAAAATTTTTAATAAAAAAAACTTGGAATCACACAAAAAGCAAGTCAAAAAAGGAAAGCTTGGGAGATTATTATAGAAATATGCCATATAAAGTAAAAAAAAATTTTTTTCTTTTAGTCTTGCCAATATTTTTCTTGCTGACTCTGACGACTTTGGGAGAAAAAGACTTGGCAATTTAGGGGAAAAGGGGTATAAAACAAGTGTAAAAAAGAGAGCAACAACAAAACAACAATAGACGGAAATGTGAAAGAGCAACAAAATCGATGATGAGGAAAAAAGAAAAAAGATGTCCTAGCAAAAGTGTCCCTCAACTCTCTTTTTTAGCTGTGCAGCAGCTTTTTTTCATCTTGTTATCTTTACAATTTTGCAGAAGGAAAAAGTAGAGGAGAAATTAAAGGAAGACGGAACGAGACAGACGGGAAAATAGAGTCTTTTTGGTTATTTTTAATTTAAGACTCTAACAAACAAAAATAAAACTAAAGAAAAATAAAAAGACTTTTAGAGTCCTACCAAAAAATTGGAATTTGACAATTAACGGAGCCAGACTCTAATGTTCTTTTTATTACAAAATTGCAGAAAAATAAAAAGACTATTAGAGTCTAGCCAAAAAAGTAACATTTGGCAGTTGACGCTCCAGACTCAAATATTACTTAGGTTTGTTGTTTTGGTTATTTCATAATACCAAATACCAATTAGACAGACAGTTGATTTTTTCACAAAAAGTCGAACAGAGCGTGCTCTCTCTCTAGTTAAAATTTCTTTTCTCGTTTTCTCTAATTCTGTCTCTCGTATTAAGCATTACACTCTTCTTTCTTTATTTTTTAAGTCTTCAAAAATTTTCTTATTTTAAAGGTCAAAAATGTTTACTTTTTCTTCCATTGCAAAAAGATGTGCAAGACCGTTTGTGTTCTCAACTCGGACGCTTATTGAAGAAGGACCTCCTGATGCAACTCCTTTGAATTCTCCTATTGAGGTTTTTTTTAATTTTTTGACCATTTTTGACTCACTTTTTCCAGGGTCAAGCAAAATATATGAAAAGACCAGCTATCATCCCAGTTGTTGAATCTAGTGGGAAGGAGACTGTAGACGTTCTTGGTGAAAGGCACAAATTGCCTGCAGTTATCCCAGTTGAAGCTGACTCGAATAAAGAAGTTATGGATATTGGGGGAGTGCCTGAAGAGCATCGAGAGGTTTTTTAAGGTTTTTAAGAAATCAATCCCGCCTTTATAGGGACGACGCGCAGTAATTTATAAGCCTGCCAGAAATGCAATGCAATCGGGTTGGAATAATGTTGTTGCTTGGAAGATTGAATTAGACAATCGAGAACGTTGGGAGGATCAGACAATTGGTTGGTGTAGCAGGTAATTTTTTTCAATTCAATAGACGATTTCAGATGTGATTAGGCGTCCCATAAAATGGGTTTTTCGGGTTTTGGGGTTGGAGTTAATTTTAAGTTCCGTTATCCTTTTCCTTGTTTTAGAGACTTGTGGCTGTCGGTATGTTGCCGTAATTCGTTGGCCATTGAGTATGGAATAGGAATGTCACGGATTATTTGAAACCCGGACAATTTTTCGATCCAATAGATTTTGCTTATTTATTCTAGTTTTAAAATATTCAGAAATAAGACTTACGCTAACCCAGACAAAAAGCGTAACGAAATCCAAATTCCTGGGTTCTACTAACTTCCCGAGCTTCTCCTGGGACAGGGCCAAAAATTATTTCGAATCACAAAAAAAAATTTTAATTAAAAACTTTATAGTGGAGATCCATTGAGTAATATCAATATGGCTTTGTCATTCGCCTCAAAAGATGATGCAATTAACTTTTGTGAGAAAAATCGTTGGGCCTATGAAATACGTGAACCTGAGGAGCGAAAAATTGTGCCAAAAGCTTATGGTTCTAATTTTCATTGGAATAAACGAACGAGGGTTTCGACTAAATAATTATCTGAAGAATATATAGAAATATGTTTCAAGGTTCTGTTAGTGTATTTCCCCCTGTATTTTCCGGATTTTTCTCTAAAAATAAAATTTTTTGTGTATTTTTATGTAAAAATTATTTGATTTTTAATCAACTAAAATATCTTTTTCTTAAATTTTTTCTTAATTTTTTACACATGTAGGCCAGGGATGGGTTCGGGTTGCCTGATACAAGAGGGCTTAAATCCTGGTTTTTTTCGACCTGAAATCCGAAACTCCGATCCATCGACCTTTTTTCAACCCCGACCCATCCCTGGTGTATATACTAGGGGTCGCACTGACAGAATCACCCTATTCCCGAAAACAGGAATTTTGGTTTTGAGTCGGTGCTATCCCTGCTGTATATACCAAATATAGAAGAGTTGGTATTTTACATCTAAAAATAAATGAGAAAAAATATTTTTTCTCATTTAAAAATCCGCAAAAAGTGTCCGCAAAATACCAACTTCTTTTTTACAAGTGCCTACATGTACGGCATTTTATTTTATTTTTTAGACTAAAAAAATTTTAATGTCTACAGAAAATAATTCAGAGGTTCTAAATAATTTTGGATCTGATCAAACAAGTGTAAAAAATTTATTAATTGAAAATGGACAGCTTATCGAAACCGCCGCTACTTGTCAGAGGATGGGACGTCTTGAGGTTTTTTTTATTTTTTTGGGGAGGTTTTGGGTATTTCTTTTTAATATTTTTGAAGGGTTTGGGGAGGTCCTTTTTATTTTTTGAGTTTTTTAAGTTCCTGGAATTTTTTAAAAATTTTTGGGGAGAATTTCAGTGTCGATTCCTTTTACAAGTTGACAATCATTTTCTATTAAAATAATTTTCAGGAGTCATTAAAATGCCAGGAAACGCTTCGCAAAAATTTAATACTTTTAGCCAAGCTGGTTGAGCCATATTGTGGTGCCCAAATAATTCAGGTTTCTTCTAGAAATTTTTGAAAAAATTTTTTTGTTGAATTTTTCAAAATTTTTCTCCATTTCAATCCAAAAAAAATTTTTTAAGGAGATAGGGCCGTCCACAGCAGTTCAACAACAGCAAGTACCAACACCTGTATCAACTCAACAACCTTCTACAAATAATTCTATCCCCACTCAACAACCTAACGAGTCTTCCCCACAAAATGAAAGAACACCTTCACAGCCTTTAATTAATTCGAATATTTCTCCAAACCAACAACAATTAACACAACAAAATTTAAATCAAATTCCTCAACAACAACAATTATTACAACCACCCCAACAACAACAACTTTATATTAATGCACAACAACCAAATATGCCAACAAATCAACAACACTTCTCTGTATTTTTTAAAAAAATTTTTCTCGCTTCCCCCAGTAGGGTTGGGGGTCCGGTCCGAAAGATCGAGTCGGGCATAGAATTTTGGCCCGAAAGAAAAACTCGGTCGGTCCGGTCCGATAAAAACGACTCGAACGTCGGCCCGACTTGAAACCCCAACCGTATTTCCCCAGCGTTGCTTAACTTACCAGATCGGACACCATTTATTTGTCTTTTCCCTGACTTTTTTCTTACGCTGGTTTTCTTTTTATTTTCGAAAATTCACAAAAATCCTCTAGACCATCTATATGGATTTTCCGGTTTTTCCCCAAAATCTATTTAGAAATCTCCTATTCATCATTATTCTTTTATAGCCTTCACAACGTCAGCAACAGCAACAACAATTACAACCAAATCCTGTCTCTCCTCAACAACAGCAATATATTCAGCAAAGATCCATTCCTTATGGAATTGTCCCTCCTCATGTTTATGTTGCCCAACAACAACCACAACAACATTCTCACAGTCAACAACAAAATTCTTTAATGGCTGCTCCATATGGATTTTCTGGTTATTTTTTATTTTTAAAGACTTGCCCCGTATTTGCAGAGAGGGAATAAATAAAAATAGCCCATCTTAGGGTTGGATGGTAGCACAGTTAGTTGTGCGGTATAGGCCATGGATGGGCGAAAAAAAATTTTTCGTTCAGAAGAGAAACAAAATTAAAGGGAAAAAAGGACAAGGAGTGAATGAAATTAAATTTTCCCCATTCCTGGTCTGGGCTCATTCCTTGATGGTTTTATCCCATCTTCCATCCAATAATATTTTCCACAACGAGAATACTTTGAAAATTAATTTTCTAGGTCAACCAAACGCCCTTTATGGAGGACAACCAAATCCACAAGGCTTTAATCCTCAATCTTCAGCACAAGCACAAATGTATCATCATCATATGATGCAACAACAACAACAACAACAAAATCATTATCAACCACAAGTAGCACCTTCACCACATTCAAATATTCAACAAAACTCGCAAACTAGTGGAATTCAACATCAAAGATGAATTTAAAATTGTATGGGCAATTTACCTGTGTAACTAACTCAGTAAAAAAATTTTTTGATTTTTTAGATGCTATTTTTTAAATTAAATTTTTTTTTAATTTTCAAAAAAATTTTTTTCTAAATTTGTGATAAAATTGAAAATTTTATTCATTTTTAGTGTTGAAAAAAAAAACAATTTTTTTCATTTAAAAAATATTATGGCAGGTAGCAAGTATTAATAAAAAATAACAAAAAAATTTTTAGCTCTTTAAAAGACATTTTTCTGCCCATAAGTAACACTAACCGCAACCACCTAATGATTAAAAATTAATTTTTATATTTAAAAATAAAATTAACCACATCCACCGCATCCTCCACAACCACCTGTGAAAGGCAGAATTAATTTTAAAATTCTACAAATTTTTTTAAAAATTTACCACAACCGCCGCAAGCACCACAGGCTCCACAAGCACCGCATGCACCTTTATTAGTGTTTTTAGATTAATTGACAAAATGGGCTTTTTCTTCGTTACGAAAAATTGGAAATTTTTTGAATGATTTTCGACCCATAACTCTTTGGGATATCTATAAGGTCGACTTTGGGCTCAACCCATAAATTCAACTCCTAGAAGCAATTACTAGGAGTCTACAGGCGAGTTGGGTTTTGCCTGGGTTGAGCCTTTTATTAATCAAAATCGTACCACATGCAGAACCACCAGCCCCATCTCCCCCTCCATCACAACCACCACCACCCCCTTCAGCACCACTGCACATATTCATCAACAAAAGTGGCAAAAATTCTGTTCCGCCAAAATCGTGGTGATGTCTTTGTGCTGCACTTATTAAACGATTTGTGGGTAATGAACGGCCTGAAAATATTCTTTAAAAATTTTAAAAAATTTTCCTCACCATAGCCACATGCAACAGTCATCGGCCAACGTTGACATTGATGGCCAATTTTGTTGGTATCTTTTACACTGCGTACCTTATCTGAAAAATATTTAAATAAAATTTGTTTGATGCCCAATAAAGTGAAGTATAGACAAATGGGGTCAAAGGGCAAAAAAGACAAAATGGTACTTTGGCCAGAAAAGACAAAACGGTACATTTGGCAAAACGGACAGAGTGGTTCTCTTAAAATAAAATGCCTAATACAAGAGATCGAACTGGACCAAGGGTATTTAAAAATCACCCCTCTCTAATTAAAAACCCCAAACTAGAAATAATTCCCTCTTAAAATAATTTACCCGGGTTGCAAAGAATAAAAAGTGTGCCAATTCCAAAAATACACGCCAAATGTTCAGCTGTCTGAGTTGAACGACAATGCATTCTACGACCATTTAATTGGGCTTGGGCATCTTTTTTAATTAAAAAATTAAAAAAATCTTTTCAAAAAATACCTCCAATGCTGAAGACCGTTGATCCATTCGCTCCAGGGAGTTGGAAATTTTGAACAGTATTCCTCAATAAATTGAAAAGCTCTACGTTTAATGCGCCTGGAGAGCCGCTTATACCCTATAAATTAAAAATTTTTATTTCGAATTTTCTAACGTTTTGTTCGTTTTTAGGGCCCTGTGACCCTTAAGCTCCAAAAACAGACTGCTTATTGTTAAGGGCAGGCCTGCCCCCTGGCTACGGCCCTGATTAAGGGTGGCGGTTCCTCAAACTGACTCAGTTAACTGAGGAAGGTTATACAAGAATCGAGATCGAAATCTTGCAAAATCTCAATTCTCGATACCCGAAATTATTTTTCGTTATCTCGTCTTGGTCACGTCTCTACCCAAACTCGTCAAGAAAAAATAACTCGCCTTATGATACCGATCACCAGCCTGTTTCCTCACAAATCCTTGCCAACGCCCTTTTAAAATAGCAAAATCCCCATCACGATTAAGAACAATAAATGCCCTTTCATCTGCTGCTGGATGAGAAATATTTGGGAGAAATTGCAAATTTTCATCCAATTGTTGTTTTGATGGTAGAGAATCTGCCCCAATTAAATGTGCCATACATAAAAGGCGTTGTTCTGTTCCAAAAACCAAAATCATTGCTTTAAAAAAATTTTTCTCTTATTCACAAAAAAATTAACAAACAAAGGAGTAGAGGAGCACTATGAACAACTTGTACAAAATATTTTGTGCCATCTCGAACATCGACCAAACTGGAAAAAAAATTTTTTTAAATTGTTTGTGGGGTAACTTGATTATTTAGGGATATGTATAGACGACAAAATGGTACTCCCCGCAAAAAACGACAAAATGGTACTTCCGACAAAAGACGACAAAATGGTACTCCCCGCAAAAAACGACAACAGGGTACATACGGGCAAACCAGACAAAATGGTACATGGGAGAAAATAGACAATATAGTACTCACTGTAGAGTTTGTCTTATAAAGAAAAATCTTTAACTGTCTCTCTTATTCTCTATAACATTTATTTTTTTTTCTTTTCACTTTACTATTCTCCCCCCTCTTCTATCTTCATAAACAAAAAACATTCTCTCTCACATATTTTCTCCCAATAAATTCTAGACATTTTCTACTCCCCATTCTTTTTAGTTTAAAAAAAATTCATTTCATTAGTTACTTGTCCATTTAAGCCATCGCTTCTCGGCCTTTTGGCTAAGATCAAAGTGTAGTATCTGTTCTTTACGGCTTAATCTCCGTAACGACCCCTACCGGGGTCAAAGAGATTAACCAATTTTTGGAAATGGGCGTGAGTTGGAAGCTTGCTTCCTCTCTGCCGCGCGTCGGCCCGGTCTTGCACTTACCTCCGGGAACGGCGCATTCCTCCCATTTATGGGAGGATAAAAATCTTGAGGTGCTAATCTTGGGGATAAGAAAAGCCCAGTTGCTGACTAGAGGTGTTTACGTTTGTCCGTTTTCCCTATACGTACCATTTTGTCGTTTGATGCCTTATGTACCATTTTGTCTCACTTCAAGCTATCGACGTTACCCGCCAAAATTTTTTAACTCCCTAGCCTTCCATGATTTTAATCCAAAAACAAATTTCATTTACTTATGGGCACTATATGAAAGGAGGTCGATAATCGTTTTTTTTCATAACTTTTTTCTATTACTTTTTTCCTTCCTTAATTATAAATAATGGTCAGTCTTTTCTTCCTCGTTCAATTCCACTCTTTTTACCTGTGGCATATTCAAATGAGGACAGACAAAAACACACACACACGGACAGACAAAACACGAGTGTTTTCTGTCCGAGTCTGTCCGTGTTTGACTGTCCGAGTCCGTCCGTCTTTTGTCCGTCTGTGTCCTTCCGTTTTTGTCTGTCCGAGTCCGTCCGTCTTTTGTCCGTCTGTGTCCGTCCGTGTTTGTCTGTCCGAGTCCGTCCGTTTTTGTCTGTCCGAGTACGTCCGAGTTTTGTCTGTCTGTGTGTCGACACAAAAAGAAAACAGGAGACCCTTGAAAGTATTAATTGCCTGTATTGAGTCATTCTCCTTTCCATTAATTCTTTTCTCTATCATTTCTTTTGATTATGCCACAGGGAATATAATGGAATAGAACAAGGAGGAAAATGCTGACCATTCTGTCATATCAAGGAAGGAAAAAACTAATGGAAAAAAGTAATAAAAAAAAACGATTATCGACCTCCTTTCATATAGTGCCTACTTATGTAAAGCAACATATATTTTAGCACCAGGCTGTAATTGTGCCCGATTTAAAGCCGCAGCTTGACACAAAGTCCAAAGACGGCTATCTTCTGTAGTTAATTGTTGTTCTCTATATTCCCCAGCTTGTAATTCCAATTCACGATTTAAAGACACGCTTGTTGTTATATTTATTTTTGCATGTTCTCCATTGACATTTTCCAATTGAAGTTGAACTACGTTTTGGGAAGATTTTGAATTTATGTTTGATGATATTTGGAGGGGTAATAACTTTAAAAATGAGGGAAATATTTTTTAATTTTTATAAATTTTGTAGATTTACCTTATCTAGTGGCAAACGGCCCTGAAAAAAATGAAAAATAAATTATTTGTTAAAGAATTTTTTAAATTAATCCCTTGGAGGCTAAACCCGTGGGGGTTGGGGGACTTAAATCCAAAAATTAACCCCAGGATGAAACCCAAGGGGATTTAAAAAGAAAATAAATTCTAGACACCAAAGGTATGTTTAAAAGTGAAGTTTTTAATTAATTAACCTAATTTAAGGCACCCTTTGTTTATAAGTCACGATTTTTCCTAGAGGCCAAAACCTCTAAAAGAGAGGTTTTAGGCTGTGACTGTTTTGTTTATCAAAAAATATTAGAAAATTTCTCATTACTCCAAGAGGAAAAAATTTCTCAGGTTAATTCCTCAGAGACTTAAACACGTGGGGAAGGGGAGGGGGGTCGGGGGACTTATTTAGGCTGTGACAGGACGACTCTGTTTTTAAAAAAAATATCAGAAAATTCCTCATGGTTCAGTCAATCCCCCCCCCCCCATATAAAAAAATTTCTTCTTACTTTAAGTTTAACCAAATCCCTCTTATGCAAAAAAACTTTATCAAACAATTCCAACTCAACAACAAATTCTTTTGCCGTTTTTCTTTCAAAAGGGAATTTAACAATTGAAGGGATTTGTTGTGTTGAGGAGGAAGAATTAATTATTGTTGATAAATAATTTGAAGATGAGGTTGATGGTTGTTGTTGTTGGGAAGATGTTGAGGATGTAGATGAACTTGTTGATGTTGAGGAAGCTGAACCTGTTGAATTTTTTGAATGTCCATTAGCTTGCGTTTTGTTGGAAGTTGTCAAATTTTTGTTGTTTTGTATACATTTTAGACCGCATGGATTTGGTTGCCAAATAAGAGAAAATGAGGGTCTTGTTACCTTTTTTGTTAAAGAATTAATTAGAATTTATGAAAATTAAAGAAAAAATGAAGAAAAACGGTACACCTCAATTGAGTCACGACTCAACTGAGTCCCGGACCCTATAACTTATGAAGGGATTGTTACTTCTATTAAGAAGTAACAATCCCTTCATAAGTGCTACCATTTGATAGAGCATTAAATAGGCTACAATCTACCAGAAAATCAGAATTTTCGATTAATTGATAAAAAAGTTCTGATCGATAAAGTGCCGAAAATCAGATTTTTTTTTTGTAAAAGTTAGATTTTAGACCATAACTTTTTTCTATCAATCAATCAATAATTTTGATTTTTTGCTATCATATAGTCCATTTAATGCTCTATCCATTGGTACCATGAACGTTAAAAATGATCAACCCCTTCTTGAGTTATAGGGCCGGGAGTCAGTTGACCTGCTCCGCATAAAGACCTCCGACTTCCTTCAAAATAGGAAGTCGGAGGTCCTTGAAGGATTATAAAAATCATTAAAATAAGAAATAAAAACCTGTTTATCCCACAATTGAGCACTAAATGTGCTTATCTTTTTCCCGCCATAACGAAGCTTTAGCCGTAATTGTTCCCTCTGAACAGGCAATTCTTTTAATACAATTGAGGGAATGTGAATATTCCCGTAAGCGAGATTGGAAGCATTATTACTACTTTCGTCATCAGATTCAAGGCAAAGAAAGGCTGGTGCATTGTGTCCACTTTTTTGAAAAAAATAGAAATTTTTTATTTTGCGGACTTTTTTTGCGGACTTTTTTTGCGGACAATTTTTAAAAATATTTTTGGTCATTGTTACACATTGAAATTTTCTGGTAAACTCAAAATTAAAGTAAAGAGAAAAAAGTCCGCAACTTTTGTCCGCAAAAATTTAAAAAAAATTTTACCGAAACATACAACCTCTCCGCCAAAAATTATTTTTGAAATGAGAAGCCCAAGCTTTTTTAGTAAATGCCTCGCCACGAAGTAATTTGCTTCCTTTGTTACGGTCATTAATAGAATCATCATGTTTAAGTAAAGAACCAAATATTGCTACACAATTCTTTAAAAAATTTTTTTGAATTTATTTGAGTAGATTTTTTGGATTGAACTCAAGGAATGAGTTAGGGAAAGTGGTGGGGAATACCTGGGAATAGTCTTAGTAAAAATCCAAAAATTTTGCCTGGAGTTGACTGATTGTGAGACTGGGATCCCTCGAAAAATCAGTCGGATTTGGCTCGCAGACATTTGCGGACTGAGATTTGCGGACTGAAACTTGCGGACATTTCTGGTTTTAACCATTTTCGGAATCAAAAAACGAATTGGAAAGGAGGGGAATCCTAGTCCCAAAATCCAATCCAACAGTAAATTTGTCATGGAGTTGACTGACTGACATGAGAGAGAGAGACATTTGCGGATTTAGACTTGCGGACATTCCTCCTTTATTAAATTTTTCCGCAAATTTTAGTCCACAGATGTCTGACAGCAAGGACGTTTTATTTAAAATTTTAAAAATTAAAAAATAACCCTAAAATAATCTTCTGGATGAACTTGATGTGTATGCCAAACAAGATCAAAATCATAACAAGGAGTTAAAAATTGGTCCGAGTAAGTTTGTTTTAGTTGAAGAAAATTAATATAACGATCAATTGCATCATTTAAAAAACGTGGAGAAGTATAATGTGGTAGAGATATCTGTAAATAATTTAGTAGATATTTTGGAAAAATAAAGGCGAATCTCGCTATAAGACAGATACTTTATTTGGGGTTGAAAATCTTACCCTATAAAGAGGGCCTAAATAGGGGTATCATAACGTAGGCACACACCTAGGGTTGGCGTCTTACATCAGTAATAATAACCCTCCGAATATGGGATCATCTAGCGGGCAGTTATATTAACATTAAGAGACCCCAAATAAATAATCTTCAGACCAACGAGACAAACGAAAGTAAACACTTGAGTTGACAGATTATGGGAAGTCTTCCGGATCAGATATTCGAACCGAAAATTAATTAAATATTCAGACATTTTCGAATTCCTATCGCCAAACTTATACCCACCCAGGGCAAATAAAGTTTAAAAACGGTCCTTAAATAGAGGAATATCCAATTTTGGGGTACTTATAGCGAGACTCGCT